CAGATTCTCCAGTATCTGCAGTTCCTACTATCTCTGATTCAAAATTGATGATTTTTTTTTAAATAGTTACTTTCAGTATGACTGCAGTTATAGTCAGAAAAACACAGTAACTGCAAATAAAGTTAAATTACATCTTGATCCCATTGAAACGACACCATGGGCAAATTATTTTATAATATTGAGTAACTTTTTACTATCTACCTGCAAACTATTTTAGCAATAATCTTGACCATGTCTTGCGGTGGTCTGTAAGCACCACAGAGCCACTGATTACGGCTTGTTGGAGTTTGATTTGTAACAAAGTTGTTCAATAGTATGATTTAAAAACATTGTAACCTTAATTTTTCAGCTTGAATTAAGTGATAACAGGATATCTGGAGGCCTCGAAGTTCTGGCAGAAAGGACCCCAAGCCTTACGCATTTAAACCTCAGTGGAAATAAAATCAAAGACATCAATACTCTGGAGCCTTTGGTGAGAAATTATCAATAGTTGAGGTGGGAAGCCATGAATGATATATTAAGCTTGTTGCAATTTAGCTGGATAGAATTTATTTCAGGCATGTGGTAAGTAAAGTAGCAATCCTGTAAGTTGATGAACAGGAGTTGCAGGGCTAGAGTTAATGGATATTGCTCAGAAAAACAAGGAGGTAGTGTACATATTCACTGCACATGTGAAGGGTGAAGATACACAGAAATCTATATGATGATATGTTAGTTTGTAAAATTCCTTAAAAATTCAATTAGATACAAACATCTTTTTAAAACACATTTTAAAAAGTAGAATCTGATTTTGGGTTCTATAAGTAGTATTTTAAGGGTGCAGGGGCAATGTGGTATGGTGCAGGAGCATTGGTTATTACTTAGTTTTGGCCACCCCATTAGGAAAAGGGCACTAATGACATAGAAACTGTAACAAAACTAAATGAGGGCATGGGCGATCAGAAGCTATAGTTGTGAAATCAATTCCACTGGAACAGGAAATGCCAAGAACGGAAGCCATCTTAAGTAAAATCCCCATTAGTTTTTGAGTTTATTGCTGTAACCCTGAAACAAGTTTAAATAGAGAAGGCATGCATCTAACAAAACTGGGCAGTAATATATCTAGACTGCTGTTTTGTGACAAATGGCATACAAGAAAGCTTTATAATGTGTGGAGTGCCTGACGTCAGCATTCTCCAATGCAAAAGCTTCCATGGTTCATATGTCATTCCTTCTCTGCCATTAGACTCCTTTCTAACTATATGACACTTGTGGAAATTATTATGGAGACAATCAGAATGGGAAAATACATAAGAGATTCTATTTCGAAGGCATTTTCTTCAAGTTAGTACTGTACTGTCATTAAGGCAGTGACCATGTTTCAAAAGTACTTTGGACTGAAGTCCTTTGGGACATTTTCAAATCATAAAATGTATGATATAAATACAAATCTTTCTCCTAACTGAAGTAACACAATAGAACCAATTGCATGAATTCAAGTGTGAATAATTTCCAACTTTTGTTTTAAGAAAATTGTCTCAAAATGTCTTGAATCAAAAACTTTATCTTAATGACCCTTTGATCCAAAGAATTTTAAACTTGAGGCAGGGCATCCTTTTTTTGTACTGCCATAGGCTTTTTTTAAAAATTGAACATAACAGAGAAACTGAATGCAAGTTCCCAGGTGTGCAGATAACTTGATATTTACGGTTTATGGTGTATTTGTTACAAAATATCAATTGTAATTGCAGCTTCTGTGCGATCGATACTGAACTTTAAAGAGAACCCAATTGAGTAATATTTGATGTATTATTTTTGTAAATAAATTTATTTTCTTGTTCAACAGAAGAAACTTCTGAATTTGAGGAGTCTTGACTTATTTAACTGTGAAGTGACTAACTTAAATGACTACAGAGATAGCATGTTCAAGCTGCTCCCCCAGCTTACGTACTTGGATGGATATGATCAGGATGATCAGGAGGCGCCAGATTCAGATGTGGAGGGAGATGGTGACTGTTTAGATGATGACGAAGAGGAAGATGATGATGAGGAAAATGAAGATGGTAAGAAATAACACAAGATCTAAGCTGATAATGCACAAAACCTGATGGACGCAAGTGCTGAAATTCTTGCTAATGAGTTGATATCTACATGGTAATGTTATATTAATCCTCCTGTTTGATTACTTTTTGGATTCATGTTAGGATCGTAGTAAAATTATTAAAAGTAATTTTAAAAGTAAATATTTAGAGTAGTGGAATGTTCGAATTTTTGATATAGCTTCAGAAATATTTCCCTGTTCGTGACTACAGAAAGGATTTCTTAGCCAACAACTTTCAGAAGCTGGATACCACTATTTGCTCTGGGGGTTTGTTAGTGGACCCAAGTGTGATTGTTTCACCAGTCTTTGGATAGTATGAATGTATTTCAAAATATTAACAATACATGGGCTTGTCTTTGAATTTCTGTGTGAGCACTATAGCATCCAGGTATACAATAGTGATTTTTAAATAATACATGTTTGCTATGTGCAATATATCAAGAGAAGCCCTGAAATTTCAACCAATACAGAACATTTATTCTACAAAGAAAATGATCAATAAATCTTTAGAAATTGAGAGATTATCCCATAGGTTGTCCAGTAATATCTTCATTAAAACCCAGATTTGCTGTTTTAATTTCTGCTTGTAATGTCACAATAATAATATTTATACATCAGAAACGAGTTTGATCTAAACACAATAATCTGAAATGCAATAATCTAAATAATCTGATTTTTTTTGAAGAAGAAGAAGAGTCCCGACCCGAAACGTCAGCTTTCCTGTTCCTTTGATGCTGCCTGGTCCACTGTGTTCCTCCAGCTCCACACTGTGTTATCTCTTAATCTAAAACGTAGTATTTTAATGTATAGAAATGGGATTAGGATATTTGGTTAACCAGGCTTACCCTGCCATTCAAAAGATCATGGTTGATCCACTTCCGTGCCATTTCAAGTTATTTCCGTATTTTTTGATGTTTATAAGATGTAAAAATCTATCATTGTCTGCTCTGGCTATACTTAGCAACTAGATCTCCATGACCGTTTGAAGATAGTGATTCTTTGGAATTCTATCCTCTGAATAAAGAAATTCCTCCTCCTGTCAGTCCTAAATACCTGCTTATTCTGAAATTGTCCTCTGGTTGTAGACTGCCGACCACCACCTGCCCTCAAAGCCAGGGAAACATTCATCATTCAGTGGCCCCATTGACTTCTGTATGAGACTTGTACACTTCAATTAAATCCCTTTTCATTCTTCTAAACTCTAGAATATAACTCCAGTCTCTTGATAGGACAATCTACCATCCCATTGTCAGTCTGCCGAATGTAAATGTTTTCCTGTGCATTGTATTGTGAGTAATTTGTCTTTTAAATTTAATTCCATGGTCCCATTTTCAGAATAAGAAAATGCTTATGGATTTAAAATATGGATCTCAAAGCCTACAGTGAATTAATTCATTAACCTGTCTTAATTTTTGTAGTTGAAGAGGAGGAGGAGGAGGAGGATGATGAAGAGGGGGAATTTGATGTCTTGGATGAAGAGGATGAAGATGAACTTGGAGATGATGACGATGATGAGGACGAAGATAGTGCAGAAGAGGATGTAAGTAATACACTGTCTGGAGTGATTTGATGGATCCTTTCCCCTCTCCATCTCATTTCCTATTTTTCTTCTTTTAAAATTAATTACAGATCTGTGCAAGCTAATCATTGTTGGATTTAGTTGCAGTGTAGTTTCTGCAACAACCTCCAAAACTAGTGAGATCAGATCTTCTGAAATTAGTACATGTGACCAAACTCTTTGGTTGGTTTTGTGTTGATATTATTTATAAATGGTTATATACAACTGTATGATAACAGTGAGTCATGCTGATATTGTTGAGCCCAACTCATTTTAATGGTTTTCATTTAGGAGGATGAGGATGAAGAAGCTGAAGATGGTGAAGAGGAATGCAAAGGTAAGCTTGAAAGAAGTGACTAGGTCAATTGTAAATTGGTATTCGTACAGAAAGGATGAATATAGAGCTAAATGCTGAATATTTGTACATTGTTATGAATATTCAGAATCCTGTTTTAAGTATTTTTCATCATCTTGATCATAATTGCACTAATTCCCTCCATCTTATTCACATTCACCAACTCTCCTGTGCTTACCTGCTGCAACTCAAAAAAGTTTTATTTATGAATGTCTTCGGTATGAACTGGTCAACCTTCAGTGCCTGCTCACCAGCTTGACTTATTTATGACTTCATTGTTGTCTTTTCTTAACATTTTCCCGCCTAAGCTACTCAACCCACCTTGAATGTTTGTGTATCCCAACAGTTTGAGAAGGACCTGCATACACCGTTCCATCCATTTAAAGTATATCTATAACATAATCTATACAAGTTAAACCATCTGTGTGCCATTTAAAAGATCTCTGCAAATGCATTTTAGGGAAATTAGACTCCTTTTTCCATCCAAATATTTTAAGAAATAGAAAAATCCTCAAAGTTTTCAACCTGAAATTTTAATGAGGATAATTAATTAACAGTGGGGAAAGAAGTGGTGTGGGAAGGGATAACAACATGTGTACATCCACAGACAAAGACAATGTAGTCAAATGTTTGAGGTCAATTAATCCAGAAGGAGCCCATTTTCATTATTCCCTCGTTTCAGAATGACTGCCAATCCTAATCCCTTAGGTGACCATTTTGTAGTAATTTCATTAGACTAGCTATTCTGTTAAGTCATGGTAAGTAAATTGTTATGCTTTCCTTTATGTAATTTAAAATGCAGCAAGCCAGTGTGTTTCTGTTTATTACATTTACTGACCCTTCTCCAAATATTCTCAATATAACTAGAATACTTTCCTCCCAAATATCTACTGTCTGTTTCCTTAACTCTGAATGTTAAGATAGCGATTTAATCTTTCACTTCTCACTTCAACAAAAACACGATTATCTGATAGTTTAAAATACATTCTTTCTTCACAGACACTGCCCAAGGCCAGAAACGAAAGAGGACCCAAGAGGACGATGGGGAAGAGGATACCGAAGATGATGAATGAGTCCAATAAGATGTATAGACTGTGACTGTGGTTGATATTCGCATCAAGTGACATTCCTCTGAGGCAGTATCTGTAGCTATGGCGATGTATATTTATGAAAAATGTAATTCATAAGCTGTTTTGTTTTAAAGGCATTTATAGTAACTGACTCACATTTCTGACAAGTTGGATAAAGCATCAGGTTGCTGAGGGATCTGGAATGTGGCCTTAGATTGGTCAGAGTTGCCACTGTTTAAACCAAAGTGTTCCATGAAAACTTGGGTAGTGGTGAGTTTTTTTGTTATCTTTGTGCAGTATCCTTCATAAGAAGCAGTTAGCATCCCTCCCCAATGAACATGTGATCTTTTTTAGGCAAGAACTTTTCCACCAGTATTAGTATTTATTCACTCCTCTCTTGCCCTCACCCCAAACACACCACGGATCGGTATTCCAAAGAGTGACAAAGGAGCTTGAGTAGCTGGCATTCCTTAATCTTTTAAGTTTGTAGAGGGATGCATGCGTCCAAAGCCTTAACTGGTAGAATGTGATGTCTTCAAAAGTAATAAACCCAAACCAGATCAAATGATTCTTGTAATAGATATTCGTTTTGTTTAAAACTCACTAAGGTTAGCAGTTATACATTGTTATAAAAACCTGTCTCAAACCCACTGCATTCAGTTTGGAGTTTATGACATTACTGTGCCTTATAGTGTAGTTGGTCTGGTAGACAATGTTTTTGTTAAATGTGGATGGGATTATCCAGTTGTCGCTGTGTATTAATGTGTACAATATGATAGCCTGTGCAATCTGTCAGAAATGTCTTTTTTCAAAAACCCCAGTCTCCATTATTGACAACTTTATTGTTTTGGCATTTCCATAGCAACAGAACTGATGCAAGAGTGGTGAGCAGAAGTGTTTTAAGAAGCTGTCTTTTTCAGAAACCTGAGTATGAAAATCTATTCCATAATTATAATTAAGGTATATTTTGTAGTTGCAGCTGCCTGACACTTACTGGTGTTCTAACAGGACTGTAAACGTGCTGTCTAATGTCTTAAACATGGATCTGGTGGAACTGTCACCAGTAGTCGAATAGAAATCTAAAAAGACTATGAGTCTTGCTTCAGGTATACCAGATTTTCTGAAAAAGCTTGTTCAGTTTTTAAATACAAATGCAAAAAAAACTTATAAGGAGGAAAGTAAATGGCTTTCAAATATTTGTATAAACTCGGTCAACAGTCTCTTTGTATTATAACAGTATATTATGGAATTAGTTCTAGATACCCATTGAAAAATGGATATTTATAAACTCTGGGACTTTTTTAAAAGAAAACTAAATGTTGAGATTAGAAATAGGTAATTTGTTACTTTTTATTTTTAGTGTGGTGTGAATTTTTTTAGAGCAAAATGAATTTGAATATAAATTTTCAGTGTAGTAACTTTACAAATGTATTAAACTTTGAAATGTTGCTGTTCAGGTTATTTCTGTACAGAAAATAAGTTCAGAATACCGCTTTCATGTTAATGTATCTAGTTTTGTTATAAATTTTCAAAAATAAATGGGTTTTTAATAAGTTGTTTTTTTACTTCTAGCTACGGTTAGTTGCGCTCTTTTTAAGTTGCATCTGAGGCCATAAACTTTGTTCCCACCCTCAGCAATTGTGACTTCCAAGTCATCCCTGAGTAAGCTAAGAATTACTACAATTTTCTCTTTTTTTTAGAGAGCCAGTGTCGTTGAAATTTGGACCTCAAATATTTATAACTGTGTAAACATCTTCATCAGTGACAATGATGATGCATGCATTGTATATATCATTGGGGTGTCTAATTATACAGTCATAGAGCTGTACAGTTTGGAAACAGACTCTTTGGTCCAACTCATCCATGCCAACCAGATATCCTAAATTAATCTAGCCCCATTTGGCCCATATCCCTCTAATCATTTCCTATTCATGTACCGATCTAGATGCCTTTCACATGTTATGTTGTACCTCCACCACTTCCTCTGGCAGCTCATTCCATACACACACCACTCTCTGCGTGAAAAAGCTGCCTCTTGGGTCCCTTTTAAATCTTTCCCCTCTCACCACAAACCTGTGCCCTCTAGTTCTGGACTCCCCTACCCTGGGGAAAAAACCTTGGCTATTCACCCTATGCATGCCCCACATGATTTTATAAAGATCTATAAGGTCACCCCGTCAGCCTCCGATGCTCCAATGAAAGTAGTCCCAGTCTATTCAACCTCTCCCTATAGCTCAAACTCTTCAACCCTGGCAACATCCTTGCAAATCTTTTCTGAACCCTTTCAAGTTTCACGACATCCTTCCTATAGCAGGGAGACCAGAATTGTTCTTGAGTTTTGATCACTTCACCTTGTATACAAAGTAGTCAGAATAATCTGACTCATGAATGTTCCTGTTTTCTGAACTGCAAAAAGAAACTTGTGGTCTGTAGGTTCTGCTGGAGGGGTTGGGCCTTGATTATCGGAATTTTCACTCCAGTAATGTAATTTTGAGTGTTCAATATGAGGAGATGGTTAAACTTTTTTTTATTTGGTGCCTTAGCAGTTGACTGGCAAAAGACTAAATAATCCATTATTACAAATGCTGAATGTTTCAATGACTGTATAAATGTGAGGTAACAAACATTGTGATGGCAAAACAATATGTGGAAAGAGAAACATTTTGATTCAGGTATTCTTCAGAACTGAAAGGTGTTAGAAATTTTCTTTTGATACTTTTGAGAGATGGAGAAGCAATAAATGGGCAGATGG